TTTCTATTAGAGTTTTACCTTCACAATGTCTACCCACAAAACTGCTTCTAGTGTTTCTTCTTTCTTTAGGGCTGTTTCTAATTTGCTAACCTTTGCATCCAGTAAACCTAGAGCACATATATACGTTTGTAGAAACTGGAAGAAAAAAAAATCAGAGCGAGTAAACTTTAGACCAAATTGAAGATTCGAACATTGAAGAATAAAATTGAAAAAAATAACATTCAAGAACCAAAAAAAAAAAATTGAAATTTCACAAACTCTATTTAACACCCAAATTAAACGCTCAAGTGTGTGTGTTGTGTTGTGGGTTCGCCAAGAAATGTTATTTACATACCATCTCAACAATTATGAGATGTCTTTGGATACCATCTCATAAAATTACATTAGGCGAATGTACATACTTTTTGGTGTCTGCATATTTAATTTCCTTAGAGTGAGAAAGAACCATTGGACACACACACACACATGTACATACGTATCTCACAAATAAGTAGAATGGACAAACAAATTATCCCATGAAGGTTCACCTAGTTGTTAATCAATAAACATTTCAAAAACCAAACCGAAGAAATAAACATACAATCATGTCCCTTCAAGGAAACTCCACAGAAACTACCTCCACTCCCACTAACCAAAACCACAACAGAAGGACAAAAAACATAAAAGAAAAGGCAAAACATAAAAGTCTCCAACCCGTAAGCAAAGGACAAATATCATTGTGCACTGTATATGCACTGTATATTGAAAGAATTATTGAGAGAATTTGCTAAGAGAATTCTTGTACAACTGGTAACATCCCCTTACTGGACCACTTAGGCTCTGTTTGGTGTTGCTATTTTTTTTTTCCAAGTAGTTATTTCTGAACTAAAGCAAGTATCATTAAGTTTAAGCTCTTCGATTTTCCACAAAACGTAGACTAAAAAAAAGAGAACAATACCATGAACTCGAATTAGAGAGAACAGTTATGTCATAACACAAATGTTTCAAAAAAAAAAAACAATTGGGGTGAACATGTTTTCAAAAAAAAAAGGAAAAGTCACGTGTTCTGTTGATGAATGGGTTGTAGGAAAAAAAATGGTCTAGCAAAATGGGTTATACTGGAATTTCAAAATGAGTTTAATAAAAAACAAAACATCACAAAACCAGCCTCCTCTGTACCAGTGAAACTCAAAACTCACAAAAAAATATACATCGAATTGGGGAATAGAAGAACAAAACCCCAAAAATTGAACATAACACAATGCCTGTGCAATGACTGGAACTGGAAAGTAAAACAGCCTTTGATACAACCGAACAGGAAAAAAAAAGTGAGTTAAACCAGCTCATAGTTTGAATTTTATCCTATCCAATTACATATTCACTTCCACATTACAACAAACACACAACGTCTATTAATTACTCTAAGAAGTTGCATCATAAAATGACTGTTATTTTTCAACTACAAATACACCCAAAGAAAATAAGAATAACAGCTATCAAGCATTAAGCATTAAGCATTCAAGAGTCTTCTTGAAAAAAATTCAAAAAAATAAATAAGCTCTTCATATTAGGTTCAATATTTTAAAGCCATTTCAATTCAAGCAAAAAAAAAAATGTAAATACATATCCAATTCATACAAAACTTGCTCCTGACCGTGGCAAAGTCCATTGGATGTTCAATCACATCCTGATAAATCAAGAAGCTACAACACAACAAACAAAATTATAAACTCCAATTCAAGCGACACCATAATGTATGAATAAAACAGAGTCGAACCCCTAACCCCACCCAACCTTTTTGGATGTTATGCTAGCACTCTGCCACAACTAGTAGTACAACATCTTTGTTCTCTCAATAAAAATATGTTTTAAAGTTAAAAATGTTGTAGATCATCTATCTTTTCTCGTCTTCCTCCTCCCTTTACACACACTAAGAACACTTTAACCTAACACTCACAATTGACAACGTATAGAACTTTCACATAGAGAAATCACCATCTTAAAGCCAAATGAACACTTTAAAAATTGTATTCTATCACATCATATAAGTTCAGGGTTAAATAATAAACTAATGTAATTCTGTAAGGGAAACATCATAGCAACAAACCCAATAGTCAAAAAAATCATATCAACTAAAAATAATATCCGTGGAAAGAAATCAATCAAAAATAATTTGCATGGAGTTTAAACTAATTCAACTAAAAAGGCTGCCACAATAAACAATTTCAAGAAAATAAACACAAACAAAATGCTCAGGATCAACTGGAAAAATGCTTACAGATGAGTCTTTCCTGCCATAACCAAACCAAATCAATTGAACACTGAAAAAATGCTCTAACCAAAAAGGTAACAAAAGTTTTCTTATCAGGCAAGGGAAGGCCAGATTAACAGAAGTCATCAAAACGTACCTGGAACACAGTCGACCCCTTTTGGCTCAACATTTCGCTGTCTGACCTGTCAAGATCAATAGGAACCTTAAAACCTCAGCATCCTAAGCCCGACACACAAAGGAACAATCACATATGCACATTGAAATAACACAGACAGGTGTGGGGGTGGACAGATGAGTCCTCCTACTCCACCAGAGATTGAGCAGATAGATATGTGGTTTTGGACCATGAGGGATCTGTGGCTTTGGACAATGACACAAAAGAGGGATCTGATGCGAGAGAGGGAGAAGAGGTGTTTGCGCAAAAAAAGGGATGGTGGGGGGGGGGGGAGGGTGTTTGTGCAGAGGGTGATTCGGGGAAATGACCGCCTGAGATAAGTGAGAGAGGAGAGAGGTTGCTCTATTTTTTTGCAGAGAGCCGTTGGGTTGGGGTTGGGTTGGATGTGATAGGTGGGTTGGGTTAGGTTGGATGGGTTGGGTTGGGTTAATTGGGGGGGGGGGGGGGGGGGGGGAATATAGTGGGTATAAGATTTAAGTTGTGTTCTATTTTATTATATAGACTTGAGAGTTTGATATTAGTTTTAAGGGTATGGGAAAAATAATATTCAGTTTGAGTAAGGTATAACATCATAATCAATACATATATTATATAGCGATGTGATACTCGAGTACAAAGTTGAAGGTATGTTAATGTTAAAGTTAAAGTTTTATTTGGCTAAATTAGTGTTCAACTTAAAAGAGATGACAAATAATAAAAATCATCATGTTACAACAATAAAACCCCTTGATACATAAAAAATGAAATTTTCCATAAAATCATTTATCAGTCGTTCAAATGCGACATTTGAATACAAAGTTAAAGTTGATTAAAATTAAAAAAAATCAATTTAATTAAATTGTTATCCCAACAAATGAGAAATACTAAAGACTATCGTATCGTGAGAGATAAAACATAATAATCAATGCGTGTAGAATACAATTTTGCTTAAAAAATTATATATCACACTTATGAATGTAACGTCTAAAACATTAAATTTTTGCACGAAAAAATAAAAGTTTTTGATTTTAAAGTTGATCGGTTAAGAATGACACAAAACCAATGGGTAGAATTTACTTTTGAAAATTGACTTGTAAAGAAACAAAGCTCAAAAATTTATATACACACATCACCGTGGTGAGACCATAACATATACCATCACTGCTGGAAACGACCCAGATAACGACCAACCATGATGACCCCATTTTGAAGCGTCTGATTAAAAGACACAGGACCTGGGTCCTTTCTACAAACTAGGAAGAGAAGGAAAAAAACAAAATGAATGGTTGTACTCTATATCAATCATATTATTACTTACATATAATTTTATAATAGGGTTAATCTCATTTTGCACCCTGAAAGATTGTTCGAATCTCAATTTGTACCCTCAAAGATCAAAAATCTCAATTTACACTCTCAAAGATAGAAATTTGTATCAATATGCACCCCCAAAGATAAAAAATCTCAATTTGCACCCTCAAAGATAGAAATTTATATCAATGTGCACCCCAAAGATAAAAAATCTCAATTTGCACACTCAAAGATAGAAATTTATATCAATGTGCACCTCAAAGATAAAAAATCTCAATTTGCACCCTCAAAGATAGAAATTTGTATCAATGTGCACCTAAAACTAAATTGATAAATTATACCTAGATCCCCTCATACTTGTCAATTAATCATTTAGACCTCTTCACATTTAAAATACTACTCCTACATCTTATGACATTTGTACACGTATAACACGTAACTCATTTTCATTGATATCTATTAATATAACCGTTAAAAAATATAATTTTATCCTAATAAAAAATTATAATTTCATATTACCATTTATTTTATGGGTTCAATATATTCTAAAGTTCAAAATCTAGTTAATGTCTAATAAAATATAAATATTTATATAATGTTTTTCATATTACCTTTTATATAAATATCTACATTTTATTAGACATTCAAATGGTAAGCTTGATTTGTAACTTTAGAGTATATCGAATCCACAAAATAAAAGATAATATGAAATTATAATTTTTTATTAAGATAAAATTATATTTTTTAACGATTATATTAACAGATATCAACGAAAAGTGGTTATGTGTTACACATGCACAAACGTCGTGAGATGTAAGGGAAATATTCTAAATGTGAAGGAGTTCAAATGATTAAATGACAAACATGAGTGAATCTAAGTATAATTTATCAATTTAATTTTTGGTGCACATTGATACAAATTTCTATCTTTGAGGGTGTAAATTGAGATTTTTTATCTTTGAGGATACACATTGATACAAATTTCTATCTTTGAGAGTGCAAATTAAAAATTTTTATCTTTGAGGGTTCAAATTGAGATTTGAACAATCTTTTAGGGTACAAAATAAGATTAACCCTTTATAATATAAAACGTGACAAACTTCGATAAACTCATTTGACGATTTTAAATAAACTCATCTAATAATCGTCAATAACTCCCTCAAACATTCATATTACACCGTACTCAACATTCATATTACACCGTACTCTCAACAACGAATTACTCCTAACTTCCCCGAAGAAAAAACCAGTCGCAGTTCACATCCAAAGGCAGAAAAGCACAATCATTGCTTTAAGCCAATAGTACAGTCCATTAATGCAGCAGTCCAACAAAAAGAATCATCCACTATTATATATTCCATGATTCAAGCTTCTTCACACATTCCCTCTATAGAACAAATTTTTTTCTGCTTCTGTTCTTGCCGAATCACCACTGTACTTACCCAACAAATTAAGTCAACATTTTACATCCATGCAACATTGCTGTATTTACAATAAGACCCACTTGAATCCAAGTCTCACTTCAATGCATGACAGGGTCACAAAAAAGAAAGCACTCTCCACTCTTTCATGGACATAAGTGCTAACCAAACCCAGGGAATCATTGAGAATTCCACAACCATTCAGACACTATATGCGCTTATAGTTGTACAAAGTATGTCCACACAGAAAATAAGAATCCGCCACAACTTACTTACATAAAATTCGAAGGGAAACATAAATTTAATTGAAAGCATAAGTCCAGAAGCAAAAGATGGAACATTTCCAAGTCGATATCAATATTATTGACAATACACAAGACAAAATGCAGAATATAAACTAGCAACCAACAATCCACATATAAAGAAACCCTAGGGATTCAAATATTATATGCTGCTTGGTCAGACAAATTCCTCTGCAGAGCCCTCTCATCAGAAGCATACATCCAAGAGGCAGCAACAGCACAGAGCAGCCAAACTGCACAAATTTTTAAGCTAATAATCAATATGCACCCAAATTAAATAATTCACCATCATCTTCAAGTTAAATATGATGCTATGCAAGCACTTATCAGTCCAAAATGAGCATGCTAAGGTAGTTTGTCATCTCTAGTATTCAAAAACTAATTGGTCACTTAGTTCACACGCTATCTTTGAACGATAGTTGAAATAGTAAACATTCCCTCCGAAATACTGTAAGACCAATGACTAGCTAGTAATTTGACAGACAAACAAACAAACAGTAGCATTAACGGAAGGAAGCAAAATAATTTGCAAGGCTGTACGTTTATTGAAAAAGTCTACTCTAATTTTTATAGAGAGACCATATTGACCCCAATTTTGTCTTCTACATGTAGGAAATCAAATGCACAATAGTTTGACAAACTATTAGATATTAATGATAAGCCAATAATATAGGCAGCTTTGACCTGGTTAGGTTGATGAAAATATTACTCAGAAAACAATTGAGTTTTACTCTTTCAAATATCCACATACTAGAATGTTTTTATGCCAATCATCTATTTTTCTCTGGGTTGAAAGAAAATGGGGTCCAAATCAGAGATCATTTTCACAACCAATTCCACAAACCTGAAAAATATCACAAACCAACTTGATATCTTTGCTTGAAATTAATAACCAAAACGGCAAAAAACCCCCCTTAACCACTACGAGTAGGAGGGCATTATGGGAAATCCAATCTCTTTCACCATCGTGATTGCCGGAGACCCCGCTGCCAGGTGGCCATCGGACTCCCCAAACTCCAACCGCGCAAGTTAGCAGACTAGCACCGTCAACCCAATTGACCCTTTAACCAGCCAGATCGCCCAGATCTGACTCTTACATATACACACACACACACACACATGACTACGTTTTATACACATGAACATATGAATCTTGAGAGAAAGAGATGATGATGGGAGAACACACCAGCCTTCCATGAGACCAGTGCTGCTAGATTGCTGTTGTTGACGGGGCGGCGCTGCGTACTGAGGGGCGTATTGGGGAGGGTAGCCCTGTTGAGGGTATCCTTGTGGGGGGTACCCTTGTGGTGGGTACCCTTGTGGTGCGTACCCTGGTGGAGGATATGCGTCCTTTGGGTACGCGTCCGGCGCCGGATAACCTATTCAAACCCAAAATATAAAAAAAAAACACCAATTCAACCAATAATTCCGTCAGATCCAATCAACCCATAACCCAAAATATCAAAAAGAAGAATCCCAGATTGAATCTTGATACTGGTATCATATCAAATCAAATCACAAAGAGAGAGAGAGAGAGAGAGAGTAGGGGTGGATTTACCTTGGGGAGGAGGGACACCAACGGGGGGTTGCTGCTGGTTGTAGTAACTCATGGTGGTTTTGTGGGAGGTTTTGAGTTAAGATTCTTGGTTTTGTCTCAAAGTTTTTTGGAATGGGGAAGAGAGAGAGAGAGAGAGAGAGAGAGAGAGAGAGGAATAAGAAGGGAGAGTAGTGGCTTTCTGGGCTCTTTATGGGGGTCTCAACGATAAGATATAAACCAAGGGAGGTTATATTCGTGTGGGGTTCCTAACGTAACGCCGTTGGGAAATTGGGCAAATTAAAGGGAAGGCACGGCACAGTGGGGTTTTTGTGGCAATTTTCGTTAATTTCCAACTTTATGGCTTACGCTATCAATATTTTTTATTATGGTCAAATATGTTCAAATAAGATAGCTAGGCTATCCCAAATAATCAATGTTAAGCCGATATGAAATTTGTTTAAATTATAGGTTAATATTATAAATTTGACCTAAATAATAGACGGATAAAAAAAGAAGCTGAAAGAGATTACAACACAAATCAAGAATACTAGCATAAAAAACTCTAGCACGGAAGGTGTCATGTGACATTATAAATATTAAATAACTAGTTATTGTCTGTGTTGGAAGACACAGAATAATAAAAAATAATAAATAATAAACATATTTGTAATTACATCCAAAATTAAATCACAAACATAGAAAAGAGATAAAAGAATTTAAACATTGATTTATATTGGGGTGAGAGGTGGTGAGCAGCAACGATGGCGGTAGAAGACGGTGATATTTGTGATGAGTGACAATGACTGTGGTAACGGCAAGGGTGACGATTATGGTGGTGGTGGTGGTGCTGGCAACAACGGCGGTGGCAATGGTGGCGGCGGCGACAGTGATGGTGGTGGTGGCGGCGACGACGGCGACAGTGGTGGTGGTGAGGAGTGGTAGTGGGACAGTTGCAAACATTATTTTTTTTTAAAGTATTTATGAGAAATAATTTTTAAAAGTATTTTTAAAAAGTCACCCTCAAACACACCCTTAGAACCCTATTTTTCTTATTAAATTTAGAATGTTAATATTAACTGTCAAATTAACTTTAAAGTAAAATTTAAAACGATCTCAACCGGAAATAGTAAAAGTCATTTCGTTTATCTTTTGAAATTTGAATTGTAAGCTATTTTATTATATAAATACTTAAGTCTAATGTACACACTCTTTTCCTATAACTCTCTTACTTACTCTCGGAACCTTCTTGACTTAAGTATCGGAATATCTTCGATGATTCTTATCCCGGTCTTTGACAATGTGCTCGTTTTATACGAGGAATGTGTACTCATGTTCGTCTCTCTCACATACCTATTGACTTTCTCAATCATCACCACTTGTGCGAATTTTTTCCTCCTACATTACAAAAGTTATGTATTTATCTATTCCACAATTTTCTCTCCTTTTTCAATCCCATGTAAAAGAAATGGAAAGATAAACGAAGTGGAAAAGTTACCAAATGAGAAAATTAAAAGGGAAAAAAATGTAAGGAGTTGAATAAGTAATGGGAAGTTTAATGGAACTAGAATAAGGGTTATATGCTAAGTGTCTAAAATTGTGGTTCGACAAGAAACATTAAGGAAGTCATGCTAAATGTTCTCTTTGAAAAATTATTTGTTATAATAAGCATAGATTGATATGTTTTGCATATTAAAGGGATAGACAAATCAAGCATTAATAAATAAATCTCTGGTTAAACCCAACTTATATATAGTATCCAGTTGAAATACATATGTTGTTTTGAGCTATCCATAAACTCGATTATATATTTTTTTTTGTTCAACGGTCAGGGATGTTCGAGTCGATTTATGTGCACCTCGACTAATCCCCTCTCCAATCTAAATAAAGTAAATCATTTGTACTAATGCTCCATTTGGTAGGAAGAATGAAAAGCACGAGGGATACACTTTTTATCCTTCAAGGATACAAAGTCGGAATGATACATTTTTCTTCATTTATATTTGATTGGATGAATGAAAAATAAAAATGACCAATTTTTTTTTTAATTTTTTTTTTCTAATATTAGAGGTGACAATCGTGTTGTGTCGTGTCAGATTTGTGTTAAGTTATAAAATTATGAGTCTTTTATATTTCTTATTCGCGTGTTAGGTAATTTTCAAGTTCGTGTCATAAAATTTGTGTCGAGTTCGAGTCGTATCATCGTGTTGAGCCGAAAATTTTCACTCCTAGTTAAGATGAAAAAAATATTTTTTTTAATTTAAAATTTATTATTTTATTTTTTTTATATATATATATATATGTATATATTATTATTGTATTTTTATATGAAATTAATGTATACATAATATATCTATATAATAAAACAGGAGTGTATTTGAATTTTATTCCAGTCATATTTTTCCCCTTAAAATCATCATTAATCACTTATCTCACCCATCATCTATTTGTCAGATTCAAACGTCAAATTACATCACTAATTTCTATCACATATTTAATCATTTATATATTTTCTCCCTAAAAATATCATACCACTCATTTCTATTATATATTTAATTTTATATTTTATCGTGCCTTCAGGCACGGGTTATGACTAATAGACAAATAAAATACATCTCAACACAAATAATTAATTTTTCATCCACATTCTTTTCGATTTTGGAGGGATTAATTTTGGTAAGTTGGAAGAAAAATTAATCTATCTATTTTTCCATTCTTCTTATTTCCTTATTTATCAAACATGATGTTTTATTTATTGTTCTAACTTTCTATTCTTCCAACTCTCCATTATTCCATTTTTTCTATCATATCAAACGGAGCATAAAACTAGATTGGATACCTTTATAAATAGATTATATTTGAGTTAATTAAATTTTGATGTAATTCACCCTTTCAAAGTTGCATTGGGAGTTGTAGTATTTATTACTGTTCTCCCCATGTAAATCGGTTTCGCTCATTGATGGGATTTTTGTAATCACAATCATAGTATAATTCGGAGGAAATCATTTTACAATTTGAGAGAGTGGAAAAATTCTATAATCAGAATCATTTTAGAATTTAAGAGAGTGGAAAAATTCACTACAATAATTAGGATATTTTGACACAAATTTGACGGTATTCACCGTCACAAAAAATCATGTTTTAGAATACTTTTTTGTGGCAGTAGTACTTTCATAAAATATTTATTTGTTGATTATAGAAAGAACAATATTATTGAAACTTAATTTACTGATATAATTTATTGATTTAATTCATTGTGACTCTTGGATTGATTATAGGTCCCATCTAACGTTGGAACTCAGTGTTGATCTAATAATTCATATGAAGCCACATCACTATGTCAGTAGGTTAGGTCAAATTTTTAAACCCAAATAACATCATTACAGTCAAATTTTTAGGTCGAAATTAGGTCACAATTGACCTAATGACCACTGCAACTTGCCATTGGACCATTGAATCACGAGTTTAAATCTCATCGCTCTCTTCCCTATAAAAATTCAAATAGTGACAAAAAAAATAGGCCTTTTTTTTATTTATTATAAATTTTGAACATCCAACATCTGAGTAATAAATGGTGGGATCCATTTATCATCCATTTAAGTGAGATTCATTCTATACAAATTGGTCCCACATTTATTAATTAGTTGTTGTCTGTGTTTGAAGGTATAGAGTAATAAAAAAATGGTAATCAATAAACATATTTATATTCATATTCAAAATCAAATCACAAATATAAAAAGGAGATAAAAGAATTTAAACATCGATTTGTAATGAGGGTGAGAGGTGGTGGGTGACAGTGGTGGTAAGAGACTGTGATGGTTGTAGTGGGTGGCAATGACCGTAGTAACGGTAACAACGGTAGTGAGCATGGCAGTGGTGGTGATGGCAGTTATGGTGGCGATGGCGGCGGCGATGATGGTGGTGGTGGTGGCGGCGGTGATAGTAGTGGTGGCGACGACAATAGCGGTGGTGGTGGTGGGGGTGGCAGAGGTAGTGATGGAGCGGTTTCAAATACTATTTTTTTAAAAGTATTTATGAGATATAATTTTTAAAAGTACTTTTAAAAAATCACTCCAAACACACTCTTAGGGGCCTATTTTCCCTATTAAATTTAGGGTGCTAATATTCGTCGTTAGATTAACTTTAAAGTAAAATTTAAAGTGATCTCAACCGCGAATAGTAAAAGTCATTTTGTTTATCTTTTGAGATTTGAATTATAAGCTACTTTATTATATAGATAGTGAATGATGTGCTAAGAAAAAAATTGAAAAAAAAATGTATTAAAAATGATCTGAATCCGTATTAATAATGTGGTGTCACCATTACATTTGAATATTTTTTTTTTTAGAATTACCAACGCATAGTTTTTGACACAACACATTAATACATGAATAAAAAAAATAACATGATCAATTACCGTGAGTAATAAATTGACTTGAACTAAAAAATTATTTAGGTAGACTAATAAATTATATTAGTTTATCAAAACCCTGCCAATTGCCAACCAAACAAACCTGGGGCAATTTGGCTACACACCAAATAAGCCTCCCCACGTAAAACAAGGTCACATGACCCATTTTTTTAAGGATTTCTTCACAACCGAGGATTATAGTAAACATATATTCTTCAAATTCTTATGGTATTTGAAGTTAATTTGGGAACATAATTCAGTGCAATCCTTGGATTGAAAATGAGCTCTATTTTAATATTAAAATTTATAATTAATTTAATGATTACATTAAATTTAGTCCCTAATTAGATCCCTATAGCATTGGTCAATATGGAATATGTGCAATCACCCGTAAATTATACATATTGGATCAATCAAGAAGTCTTGTGTAAGACACCAAGAGTCAAATTTAAGACTTTGATGTACTAATTTCAACAGTCCTATCATCTGGACTATCCCGATCGTTTAATTTCTAACTTTCTACAAATTTTTGGGTTTGTTTATAACAAACAAAAAATTATAATTTTTTCGGTAATGTTACTACTTTTAATGTTTGAGTTATAATTTTTTTGGGCCAAGTTACCATTTTTGTGATTGATCCTAACAAGTTACCATAAAAATTATAAATGTCCCTAAAAAATTGAAAAAAAAATACGAATTTTATAATGACAATATGGTATTAATTTTTTTTTGATACTGTAGATGTCTACCAAGAATTCAAACGAAATTGGCATATTGTTAGGTCTTACATTTGTGAGAATACAATATCACAAAGAAAAGACAAGTAAATGTGTGTTAATATATAATGGATGGACTTACAACCTAAAAGGCTTAAAATTTTCGGTGAATATGAGTTCTAG